TGTGGAAATAGCTTCAGGCCCTTGTGGCTAGCTCAGCAGAGAAAGGTCTCAAATATCCAAACCTGCTTTCATCGAGAGGCAAAGCAATCACTTCATACCAATGTGGATTTAATCTCCGACAATCCACAGACCCGCTTTTAACACACGCTCAAATGCAAGGAACAGAAGACGTTTTTAGCGATTTAACTCTGGGTCCAGCTCATTCAAACTCTCCTCCGTGTCCCCTGCTGGGTATGTAGCTGTGCAGTTCGTTAGCAAGCTCCCACCTCGTTAGCATCTCAGCGGGACTGCCACCGTTAGCTCGTGCGCATTTAGTTTAAAGCTTATTAATGGGAGCACCTGTGAGGTTTGTGTCCACTCACAGTCACCGTACCCTGGGAAGTCCATCATTATGACTGCACACTCTGTCGAAAACATGGACGAGGGAGAGACGGAATCTGCCCATTTGGAGTCATGGGAAGAGCACGTCTTTTTGGTGAACCACAATATCGGTTAAAACAGTTGAATACAGGTTATTCACATTAGATACTAGCTCTAACTATCACTACGGAGACAATAGAAATGGCCAAGTGTGTCACATGATGTGGCGAGCAAGCCAGGGAGAAGTGCCAGATTAATACACACAAGAGTTTGGGAATCTATGGAACAAAATGATTTATACCAGGGGTGTCCAAACTTTTTAGTAAGAGGGCCACTTTAGTTCATCAGACTTGACCTGGAGCCAACAACCTGGATTCAAAAACTGGATTCGAGCTGGATGGATTGGATTCTGGAATTTAAAATGGGTTATGATACGTCCTTATTGATTATAACCACAGCTGGAATTTATTTGGAATGCTGTGATACAATCATAAAAGAGGTCTGAGATTTACAAGATGGTGTAGCACGACTGTATTGATGGAGCTGAAGTTGGTTGGATGACACTGTCAAACCACTTTAACGGCGACTTTGTGTTAGCAGCAGAGGGCCAGATTAAATGTCACAGAGGGCTGCAAACGGCCCGCAGGCCTGAGTTTGGACATGCCTGATTTATACAGTACGTTTCATACATGACCTAAAGACAAAAACATCTCTCACAAAGCCATTGGAGGGATACAGAAAGATAGTCTGAAAGTGAGTCTTAAAAGAGCGGCAGACAGAGTCACTCAAGAAACAGTGTTATTATGAAAATATAATAATAAAATGTAATCATTTGCTTTATTAGATACTAGGCCCAAAACCATGTGGATATGCAAGAGAACATTTGTTACAGAGTTACAAAGGCACGGGCATGAAAAAAAAGGTTGCTTTGGATTGGAGAGAGAGAAAGCCTGGTGTCCGTTTGATTTCCAGGACAGAGAGACCTAGAACTGAGCTGAGTTTGACAATGTCCATAGTCATGATGTCACCTGTGATGTCACACTTTATGATTGGACAATGGTAGCCCCCCGTAGCAGGGAGCAGGGAAGGACAGTAGGTGACACTCATGACTCCAAACAGCAAGAATGTTTAGAAGGTTCTTTTAGGCCAGTGGTTCCTTTTTTGTATATTTTGATCTATTTTGATCTATATTTTGTCTATTTTATTTAGTTTGAGAATTTTACTAATAAAATGTGTGCGTGCTTGGGAGGAACCAAAACCAAAACGGCCCAAAAAGTAAGAAATGGTTGTTATTGCAAGCTGATAGACCTATTATTATTCTTATTATTGCCTTTTATGGGTTCCATGTTTATAATTAAGGAGATTAAATCAGGAGAGAATTTAAGTTAAAATTATGTAAAACTATAGATCTTTTATGACACTTTTGATGCAATTCTGTCAAAGTTGAGCCGATCGTTACGACAGTGTGTGGAAGTCAGTTGGTGTTTTGGTCTGAGGGCTGCAGCTAACATTTCTATTAGCGCCGTCGCAGATGCTACGACCAGGACCTTGATATGTCAGCTTTAAAATCACATGCTGCAAAACCCTGGTTGTGTCTTTTTAACACAACAATAAAATATATTTTGCTGTGATTCTATTTCATAATAACCACTTGCTAGCTTTTGTTAGCAAGTTTTCAAGCACCCCCTGGGATACCCCCACAGACACCTTGCGATCTGCATAACCTGCAATCTCTGGCTGGGAAAAATTACTTTCTGACTTTGTGCATGTGAACCAGTAGGGGCGGGTCTCAGCACATAAATGTCCAAAATGACGTGCGCTGAAAGGCTTGCAATACCTCCCCGGGCCAGTGGGGGTGGACCCGGAATAAGAATTAGCCGTTACCTCTCGAAAACGGGTTTACAGGATGGTCCAAAAGTCGCCTTTGGTCCAACACTGCGTTCCAGATGCTGTCAACGCTGAGGGGAGTGATTTTTTCTAGTTTAGCCGATGTGGATTTTCGAAGGCACTTGTTTAAATGAATGGGACTCATGCAGCTGACACATACGTGAACGGGTATTCTCACATTTTCCAGCCCCGCGACCATTTTGAAACCGCCTATAGAAGCCAAAAGCAAGAACAACGGCAGAGATAGTCGTGACTACGTTTGTGAATATGTACAGTCTTTGATGTGAACTCCTGGTCTGTAGCGTATGCCATAAACAACATGTATATACAGTATTTTTACCCTCTTGGTTCAGCCTGTCAGCTCTTGATAACTTGGAGAATATTTCTTCTTTTCTCACACACGCTCCATCCATCTCTCTGTGTGGGGTTTGGCCGCCGTCACCTTCCCGCTGATGGATTATTCGCTCACACTACTGGCTGCCAAAGCGTGAGTCCACTTCCCCCTCGGCCGCCGCACTGAAGTCTCCGCCGCGGTGTGGCTTTGACAGGAGCCCTGACACTTCCTCTGAGCAGCGCGCCCGCAGAATAAGCCACTTTGATCACACTGTTCGGAGCACAGGTGACGGACGTGAGCTGATGGAAATGGAAGACCGGCTGATTTTTGGGTCAAAAGGGAAGCTGATATTGCTTTTCCTGGAATGCTGTACAATAAGGCTGCAAAGAAAATTGTCAGGGATTCAAGCTACATGCACCCCAAAAAAGTAATCTTCTATTGTGGAGTCAAAAATATCCTAATAAATATAAACAGTGCATGAAGAGATGGACGGAAAGAGCCACACTCCTCCGTATGGCAGGAGGAAAATGCATCGGCTTTATTGAACACTGCAATCATGGAGAAATTCCCCAAACTGAATCTATTACATGTAGAAAGTCTATTATGTCTTCGTTTTGTTTAAGGGCCTGGAATGTTCTTTTAATAAGTGTAAAGCTAGTACTGTTTCATTAGCCAACATGTTTACCGCATTGCCCCCCGCAGTTGGAAACAAGATAATAAAGCAGCACTTTTAAAATAGGCACGTGCAAACATTTACTCCAGAGGGTCACGCCGGAGTATCAACCGGCTGTCGGGAGCCAATTTCCACTGTTTTTCAAACAAATTATACAAATGAATAATATTAATTTTGTTATATCTGTTTATTTGACTAAGCCACAGTTAAAAAACACAGAAATCCACATCAAAATTAAAATTCCTCTAGTGTTTTTTTTTCCCAAATCAAATGGTAAAATTCTGCCTCACATGAGTCCGTTCTTATCTGAGCACAACCTTTTGTTCTGTACTGGACACATTCAGGTTTTTTATACTGCATAGTTTTATATAGTGCTTTTTTTTACCCTCAAAGATGCTTCACATCTCAGTAATCTCTTTCTCCTAACATGGTGGTGATTGTAGCCACAGCTGCCCTGGGGCACAATGACAGAAGCGAGGCAGCCAGTCTGTGCCATCAGCCCCTCCCACCACCACCAAAAATTCACACACGCACACAAGACTCATTCTAGGAAATGGGGGTGAAGTGTCTTGCCTAAGGACACAACAACCGTTTGGCACTTTACAGCCGCCCCACTGTGGTGCTTCCAAAATGAATCTGAATCATTTGAAAATAGAAAAGAGAATCACTTGTATTTGACATTAAAGATGCAGTCAGTGATTTTTTCCAGACGCACTTTTTAAATATTGTGGGAAAACGTCTCTAATCCCTAAAAGTATCAAGTTATCATGTGTTTTCAAATAGTAATGGAATTGCGCAGATGCCTGTAGTCTCTCAAAATTAATAAGAAATATTTTGGAGCAGACCGGTAAAAATGAACCAATGAGATTTGTTCATCCCCAACGAACCAATGGGATGTGTTTACCCCCTTCACCCTCTTCCTGTTTCTCGCAAGTGCACCTGAGTTATCGGATTAACTTCTAAAACCTTAAAATGTCTGAACAGAGAATGCCAATTTCACGTTTGCTTCACTCTCCCTGTTGTGGCAAAGAAAATAACATGCTGGATGTTTGATTTGGTGGAGAGGCGAGGGGAGGGGGGAGTGGTTTGGTGGAGAGGCAAGGGGAGGGGGGAGTGGTTCGGTGGAGAGGGCGGGGAGGGGGAGTGGTTTGGTGGAGAGGTGAGGGGAGGGGGGAGTGGTTTGGTGGAGAGGCGAGGGGAGGGGGGAGTGGTTTGGTGGAGCGGCGAGGGGAGGGGGGAGTGGTTTGGTGGAGGGGGGAGTGGTTTCCAGTTGGTGCTACGGCTAAGCTAACAAAATCGCTAACTGCACCTTTAATTTGCTCCAAACAACCACAACGAGTGAAGCAACATGTTTTGGGTCATCCTTCATAATCTACTAAACATACTAATTTACCTGGCCTTGTGAACTTTTTAAGCACAACTGTAATTGCGGTGGGTGAAGACTCCCCCTCCTCCCCTCTCCTCTGTCTCCCGGTCTCGCTCTGGTGTTGGCCGGCGTTTTGCTTGCTCAGTAAATACTCCCGGACACTCCTGTAACATTTAGCCCGCTCTTTGACTCCAATTAACCCCTGGCTGGAAAACCCTGTTCGTTTGGAGATGAGTTCAACATGGCGGATCACAGGAACGCGGGAGGAGGGCAGCGGCGCGCCCTTGGACTTCATTAAAGAGCCAGTTTTTTCTTTTTTTCATCTTGGTCCAGCGTTTATAGGTCTGGAGAGTCTGCAGAGAGAGTGGGGAACACAGCAGATGCTCCAGCAGGACTGCCAAAAAGTCTCACGAGGGTGTTTTGTCAACAGGAAAAACATGGATGACTGCCGTGAGTAGAGGGTTATCAATGCAGACTTTGAAAAGTATGTAAATAAACCTGTTTTTAATTTGCTTTTTAAACTTTGCTTTGAAATGTGTGATTTTCTCCATTGGATTGATCTTCCGGGTGTCAGGCTGTAAAGAAGACCAGTGGCTCAGTTGGTAGAGCATTGGCCTTTGAGGTTGTAGGTTCAAGCCCACCACAACACTTTCTCCACCCACTGATGTCTGCTGTCGTTGTGTCCTTGGGCAAGACACTTTACGCCACTTTCCCCACAAGCAGCGCGGCAGTGTTCGTTAGTCCTCATTATTTCACTTTACAAGTTTTAAAATGTCTGTATTGCTTTAGAAGACGTATTTGTTGTTTTGACACGTCTTCTCCGTGGTGAATAGACAACACGGGTTAGAACAACACGCCTACTTTTCCCCACCGTCGTCCCAGGACTGCAGCGCGAAAACGCCTCGTGAAACATTTCCATGGAAGCAGAGATTCAGGTTTGTGGATGCCGTCTCTCGTCAGTGGAATAAGAACAACAAACATGAATGAATTATGATTGAATTCTCTTTTTGTGTTATTAACCCCGTAGCAGCCTCGGTTACAAATATGCAACAAAAAGTTCAAAGGTCATGGCAAAAGAATTATGACTTTTTGGTTTCTTTTATCGACTAATTTATTTACCAAGAAGTTAATATGCTACATTACCAAATTTGGTCATTGAATACTACTTTGCAAATTCACTCATCTCCATTGACACAAAAATAGCACAGATGCATTTTTCAACAATTTAACAGAGTAAGGAATAGATAATTGTATAATATCTTCCTTATTCTTTTAAAATGTCGATATATTAATTGTTGTGTCTTTGTTCTGTACTTTAATAGTAATGTTAAAGTACAGAACAGCTTGATTGTTATTAGGTTTTTATCAAATAATTTGCTTAACAAATATTTCTATGTATGGGTTCTACATGATTAAGCTTAGTACTTTAAATTACAATGCATGTAACAATACTGTGCCCATACATTCACTGTGATTGAACACATTATTTTACTCTTGCTTTTTTTCCCCCAAAATGTCACTCGACTGACACCAGGATGATGAATTGTCGTGCTCTCGCTCATTTAATCTCATCTACAGTCAAGCACAAAGGCCCTACACCAGCAGCTGTGATGACAACAGAGTATGTGTCATGTAAAACTCCACCATCATCATTGTTATTACTCCTCCACCGCTGCACCTAAGCCCTGAGGCGTGGGGGCCCCCTCTGCTTCCCATCAGCCCACTCCCCCCTCAAGCCGTCCCCCCCATCAGCCCACTCCCCCCTCAAGCTCTCCACTGTGGGTATGTTCCAGGCCGCCGTGCGCTCTGACAGCCTCACGTACGGCTTGGCGGAGGAGGGAGGACACATATTTATGCCTCGCCGGGCGTAAAGGCGCTGCATTAATGTCCGATTATTATGTCTCTATCCACGAGTGACGGCCGCTGCTGATGGGGAGGGACGGGGAAGTGGTGTGTGAAGCAGGATTCTTCAAAAGCTAAAAGCGATGTTGAAATCATTTGGTTGGCCAACGCAGATCAGAGAATCAAACAGTTCAAAAAAATAGAAACAAATAAACAGATGACCAATGTCCATAAATGTTGAAAAAGGCCGTAAATGTCATTAAAGTTTGTTCTGTTGTAATGTTTTCACTCCCAATAAAGCCAAATCGTGGAAAATTGTCACCTTGTCCCTGATTTGTTTTTTTCTGGGAGCAAAAGTCTGGCCCTGGTCCAGCCCTGATCAGACTACAGCCTCAGTCCAACAGGCATGACACATATATTAGTACAACCAAATGCAACTCAAAGCTTTCCAAAACAAGATCGGGTAAGTCACATTAAAATAATAAATAATCACAGTACATTAAACAAGAATAAATATAAAATCCCCCAGTTGCGTGCACAGCTAAAAAGAAGTGTATTTAACATGCAGATTTGAACATAGTAACCCAGAGACTCCTCCACCTTTCCTGCAGTGACCCGTCCTGCTCCACCCAGAGACTACTCCCCCTGTGCTGCTGTGACCTGAGGCTGTGGCTGATTGTTACTATTTTCAACTTTTTTTGAATTATCAATTTTATTTTTCATTTTTGCTGCTGCTGGACACCTGCATTTCTCCGACGGGATCAGTAAAGTATCTATCTATCTATATGGCGCTAACATTTCACTGATGTACTTTGGAGCGAGGTCATGGAGAGACTGCTTTAAAGTCTATTCTCTGAGCCACAGGAGCCAGTGCAGAGACCTGAGAACTGGACTAATGTGGTCCTACTTCCTGGTTCTAGTGTGGACTCGGGCTGCAGAATGTTTTATATACCACAGACTACAGCATCAGTCCAACAGCATCAGTCCATCAGGATCAGTCCAACAGCATCAGTCCAACAGCATCAGTCCAACAGCATCAGTCCAACGGCATCAGTCCAACGACATCAGTCCAACGACATCAGTCACACAGCATCAGTCCAACAGCATCAGTCCAACAGCATCAGTCCAACAGCATCAGTCCAACAGCAGGTCAGTCCAACAGCATCAGTCCAACGGCATCAGTCCAACAGCACCAGTCCAACAGCAGGTCACACAACAGCAGGTCAGTCCAACAGCATCAGTCCATCAGGATCAGTCCAACAGCATCAGTCCAATAGCATCAGTCCAACAGCAGGTCAGTCCAACAGCATCAGTCCAACGGCATCAGTCCAACAGCATCAGTCCAACAGCAGGTCACACAACAGCAGGTCAGTCCAACAGCATCAGTCTAACAGCATCAGTCCATCAGGATCAGTCCAACAGCATCAGTCCAACAGCATCAGTCCAACAGCAGGTCAGTCCAACAGCATCAGAGTACAGCATCAGTCCAACAGCAGGTTAGTCCAACAGCATCAGTCCAACAGCAGGTCAGTCCAACAGCATCAGAGTACAGCATCAGTCCAACAGCAGGTTAGTCCAACAGCATCAGTCCAACGGCATTAGTCCAACAGCATCAGTCCAACAGCAGGTCAGTACAACAGCATCAGTCCAACAGCATCAGTCCAACAGCAGGTCAGTCCAACAGCATCAGTCCAACAGCAGGTCAGTCCAACAGCATCAGTCCAACAGCAGGTCAGTCCAACAGCATTAGTCCAACAGCAGGTCAGTCCAACAGCAGGTCAGTCCAACAGCAGGTCAGTCCAACAGCATCAGTCCAACAGCAGGTCAGTCCAACAGCATTAGTCCAACAGCAGGTCAGTCCAACAGCATCAGAGTACAGCATCAGTCCAACAGCAGGTTAGTCCAACAGCAGGTTAGTCCAACAGCATCAGTCCAACAGCAGGTCAGTCCAACAGCATCAGAGTACAGCATCAGTCCAACAGCAGGTTAGTCCAACAGCATCAGTCCAACGGCATTAGTCCAACAGCATCAGTCCAACAGCAGGTCAGTACAACAGCATCAGTCCAACAGCAGGTCAGTCCAACAGCATCATTCCAACAGCAGGTCAGTCCAACAGCATCAGTCCAACAGCAGGTCAGTCCAACAGCAGGTCAGTCTACCGCATCAGTCCAACAGCAGGTCAGTCCAACAGCATCAGTCCAACAGCAGGTCAGTCTACCGCATCAGTCCAACAGCAGGTCAGTCCAACAGCAGGTCAGTCCAACAGCCTCAGAGTACAGCATCAGTCCAACAGCATCAGTCCAACAGCAGGTCAGTCCAACAGCATCAGTCCAACAGCAGGTCAGTCCAACAGCATCAGTCCAACAGCAGGTCAGTCCAACAGCATCAGTCCAACAGCAGGTCAGTCCAACAGCATCAGTCCAACAGCAGGTCAGTCTACCGCATCAGTCCAACAGCAGGTCAGTCCAACAGCATCAGTCCAACAGCAGGTCAGTCCAACAGCAGGTCAGTCCAACAGCCGGTCAGTGTACCGCATCAGAACTCGTCTGCTCTAAATCTCCCGTTTCTCTTTATTGAATTGCGTTGAGGGTAAATTGACTCGTCTTGCGTCTCAACGGCGAGCTCCGACCAATCACATTTCAATAACAGCCTCCAGCTCGCCGCCGCCGCGCTAAAGAAAATGGAACAGGAGGAAAAATGATTTCATTTATTTTATTTTGGTGAAGACAATAATGTGATGGAGACCGGCACATTCCCCTGGAGGTGCATCACGCCGCTCACTCTCTCTGCTTATCAAACCACCGACATTTGCTTTCTCTCATTCTGGATGGTTTTTAGAGTGTTTTCATGTATTTGACTTTGGTTTTACTTGGACTGAGTATCTACCACAACAACAGGATCTGAGGAAAGCTTAGCCAGCGATATTTCTTCTTTTGACTTAGTTTGATGTGATAATACAAACTATACATGAAATATTGACGATAATTAAAGTAGCAATATGTTAGATTTTCATGTCAAGTCATCATTAAAGGGCCCTAATCCGTCCAAAGGCATTAATAAAACACCACCTTTTTACCAATCAGAAAGTCTGTGATCTGGGTTGGCAGAACTCACTGCGTCGAGCTAATTCGACTGGTAAAGTATCATGTGGGACTAAAACAGGTCTCGTTTTGATTCTCCAATCATTCATCAAGGAATAAACCAAGGATTTCTATCTTTGTGAAAAAGGTGTTGTTTATAGATTTGTTGTTGACAAAACTCTTGTCTATTCGTCTGCATATCTGGCAACCTGAGTCATGGAGAGTGGAAGGTTGCAGTACCACTTTTGGCCAAATGTTTACATACATCTCCTTTAAGTATCAAAATATGATTTAGGTTATTTTAACCCCTAATGGTTTCCTCGACCTTTTGGTAGATCAGCTTTTGAGTCTCTATGTGTACTTTAAGCTTGGAATTGAGATCTAACTCTTCGGGGCATCTCACTTGGTTTTAGGCACTTTTACCATCAAACTGCATCTCAACCATTTGGTAAAGGCATGGAATAAGAAATAACATATAGGAGTTAAAAAACGTAAAAACAAATGATCTGTATTATTAGTGCAGTCTTTTAAAATGACGTTGATTTTTTCAAGGTTTGAATGTTAAAGATTCAAGATGTATATACTCTAACATGTATCAAAACGTAATTGCTTTGTAAAGTCATGAGATTTGAATAAACCACTTTACAAAGGCTCACCTTGCGAAGCTGTAGAGCAGTTTTCAAGTCGTATGATCTTACCGGCTTCATCTGAGATTTGTTGTTGTTAAAATTGCAGTAAAAAGACTATTGTAAGTGACACAAAGAGCAGACTCAAGCCCAGAGTGTTCCAACAAACTCGTCTATCGTCTCCCTCATCATCATCATCATCTTCATCTCTCTGAACACATCCTGGTCCTCTCATTACTCCTGTGATCTCACGTGAATGGACTCGGTGATGGTTGAAGCACAGGGGCCCTTCTCAATGGAAATAACACAGACTAACAGTTGTATTATAAAGTCAATGTGATGGTTTATTGTTATGATGTTTTACTGTATGTTATTGTGGGAAGCACGGTGGCTGAGTCGGTAGCAATCTCGCTAGCCTGGTCGTACCACACCATAGTACAAATTACATTTCTTACTAAGGTCTGGATTTTCTCCATTGAGCTCCGCTAACAGGTGGGAGGGGTTAACTTCTTTTGCAGATTGAAACGATTGGATCTGAGTTTACCGTGATGTATGTAATGCACCCGAGTGAGTCGTTAGCATTTAGCATTTAGCCTAGCAATAGCATTTAGCCTAGCAATAGCATTTAGCCTAACCATATGCTTTGCTGCTAACGGAGCCCGTGGGGAGTAGCGCCACAATCTTTGCCAGCAATTACATTTGCTATGCTCTTGCTCCGGCTTCAATTTATTGATAGAACTAGACCGGAATATTTTACCATTGCATTCTTCTCCATTGCCAAACTACAACCTGCCCGTTCGGAACAAACTGTTGACGTCACCCACAACTAACTACAGCACTCGCCTCCCGCACTCACTGGTTGGTCGGATGGAATTCAACCAATCGTAATCGCTAACCCAGGGACCAGATCCAGACGTTACATGCAGTGAAATGATGATTGAGCGGAGTGTAAGACCAAGCTACAATCTCGCTTCTCAGCAAGAAGTAACAGGGTCTTTCTGAGTGGAGTTTGCATGTTCTCCCTGTGTCTGTGTAAGTTTCCTCCGGGTGCTCCGATTTCCCCTACTGCAAAAAAACAATAGGTACAATAGGTAAATCCTCCAACTCTGGTCCTGACCAAGCCAAGCATCAACACCTGGAGATGGGTTCCCGGGCGCTGTACTACGGTGACCAGGATGGGTCAATGCCCTATGGGGGTAAATAAAGTGCACCTTTACCTATATTGCAGGGGTGTCCAAAGTATTTAGGAGGAGGGCCACTTTAGTTCACCGGACTTGCCCAGGGGTCAACAACATGGATTCTGAGCTACAGTATACAATTGGGCTTGATAAGTCCATATTGATTCACACCACAGATACATTGGTGATATTTTGTGAGACAATCATAAGCAAATGTGAGTATAAAGAAAAAAATATGTTGATGGCTGAATTCCAAAAGGTTCTCAACAAGGTACAGCAAGACTATATTGGTGGAGCTGAAGTTGGCTGGATGACACTATGAAAGAGCCTATATTGCAAGTTTGCAGTCTGCTTTAATGATTACTGTACTTACTGTATATACAGTAGTTCTTACTGTATATAGTATATAGCACTCAAAAATACTTCCTTTGGCATCATTAAATCTCTCCAAACATGGTGGTGGACCGTAAATTACTGCTGTAAGATAAGACAAGACAGACTTCATTGATCTCACACAGGAGTACGTGTCACATCTGGCATGGATAGAATCACTCAAGATTGTGCAAAATAAAAAAAATGTGCAAACATGTTAGATATATTATGTACAATAAAAAGCAATCAAGAAACAGTGTCAATAAGTAGTGCAGGCTTTTCAATCCTGATGCAAGTGACCACTAAGTACCCACTCAGCCACAACCACCTTGGGTTAGACTGACAGAAGCGAGGCTATTCATCTGTACCTGTTCCCAGAGGTCTCCCATCCCAGGGCCTGATTCTCCAGCTTTAAGTAAGGGAATTAATGCTATATTTTGCCTTTCATCAGAGTTGATTGTTTACCAGCATCTATACTTGAACATAAGCACCTAAAACTAGTATTTTTGTCCCCTGTGACTAGATCTTCGTCGTGATCCAAATGTAAATCTTTTCTCTAAATGTCATTGTCTCTGGCCACGGCTCCAGACCGCAGCTCGTCTTTCTCCATTATTTTATGACTCTCTCTTCCTCTTAAAGTGTCGCCTTACACGGGGAACAGACAGAGAGGAAATGGAGGCCTAATAAAGGACAAATGTGGGATATTGGACTTTTAATATTAGATTGTATTGCACTCATTCATTTTGCATTGACGTCTGCCACATTTCCACAGCGGCTGTAAAGGTGTGCGCCAGAGAGAGTCTGAATCAGAGAGAACCGTGGATGATGTTGGAGTCTGTAATAACTCTCAGACTTTTGAACACACCTGAATCTTGATTAACAGATGTGTAGTATCTCTGTATTTTATACTGTAAATGTGGACATATTCACAGATGTGTATATTCCTGAGTACCTATATCCAGATTATTCTATTCTCACAGTGTTATTGTATTATTATTATTATTTCCAGATTGTTACTTTAATGTAATTTATATTGTGGAATCCTTTGCAAGCTATCGTGACAACGCAGTTTCCCTTGTGGATCAATAAAGTCTGTGCAAGTCTAAGTCAAACCGTACTTTGTTTAATAAGCACCGGTTTTCATGCTGTATCTATCCAACAACAGAAGATACACACAATTGTTCTCTGTGTATTTTGATTTGAGACAAAATATACAGACCATACTCACTGTTCAAATTACATCTGAAAAACTGGTTTGTAACACAGCAGACTCATCTCTTTTGTATGTGTTTTTGTGTGTGTGTGAACTGTGTTTTTATTGTATGATGTGTGTGTTCTCGTTCTTCCCTACGGTCTGTGTTTTTCTGCATTTTATGCCTGTTATTATCTTCAGGGAGACTATGTACACCTGCCCAGGGACTGCAGGTGAAAAATAACCTGCTTGGCTAATTCTGGTGCATTTACTGAAATGCTTATTAATGCACAACGTCCCTGTCGAATAAACTAAAAAAATCAAATAAGTGTGATACAAAAAAGCTTAAAGATATTCAGCTCTCGCTCGGGCTGCGTTTCCTTTAAAGCTTTCCAAGACAATATATACCTTAATACAAAGGCTATGATACAATACAATACTTAGATAGATACGGGGCCTTTTTTAACTCAATACAGTCTGATACAATTATATATTTCCGACTTATATTTCAGTAAAGACTTTTGTCCCAATTTAGCCAAAAACACATTGGGGAATTTACTCACTGTACTGTCATAATGAATTAACATTATTTTGTAAACAAATCTATAGATGTATGTAACTTCTACAACCATTGGATAATATCAAAGCATGTAAATATAAATTAAATATTGATATTAACTATACTGTATATTTTAAAGATACCAATATCCAGATATGACTTATTTTTGTTAGCGTACCTAATGTGCCATGTGAGGGGCCTCTGTGAAAAAGTTAATGGTTCAAAACGGTTTGGGAACGCTGCTATATCACACATTCTGACATTATTCCGAATTATTGGACAGATGCACAGATGTGGTACAATTTTGAAAGTGCCATAATCGTTGCCGTTTCTTAGCCGTGCCTGGTGTGTTCGACGACAGACTCCAAAGCCATCATAAAAGCCTTCATAAAAGTTACCAGCGTTTTGTTAATGCTGATATTTAAACTGCAACAGTAGCTCAGTTGGTAGTCTTTGGACCCAATGGTTGTGGGTTCAAGCCC